AAAAAAAAAAAAAAAAAAAAAAAAAAAAAAAAAAAAACCTTTAAATGGGAATTAAAAACAGATGGATGATATGACACGTACATCATCCAGTACTGATATTGAGGCACGTCGGCAATTTAACTCCTGCGGTGGCGATACCCGTGCCGCCTCACCCACAAGCAGCTACATTGTGGTGCACGCATTTAAAGGTATTATATATGCGTTTTCAAATATCTGCAAGTTATATTTTTACGTCATTATGTCTTTCTCATTTCAGACCTTTAAAACGATAAAAAAAATGTCGATAATTTTTTCTGTAAAAACATCTGGCAGATTCGTTTACAACTGATTTGTCTAATAAGGAACGGTAAAAAACATGGAATCCAGCGAATTTTCACGAGCAGGGAAATTTAATTTGGCTCGAAAATCTCGTAGAGGATTCTTCAAAGCTGAAAGACGATACATGATGATTGCACGTTTTAAATCATTGATCTCCACCTTTATTTGTGAGTGGAGTAATAATTTTTGTCACGTCTACGTCATTTTGACCTCTTGATCTCTTTGACCGTATTCGCGTCACGCCGCACAAACATGATGTCCATAACTATTTCTTTTCCCTTTCCATACAACCCAGTACGATTGAATATTTGTTTTATTTCGTTCATAGTCGCATCATAGTTCGGCAAATATCTATGCACCTCAATGGTCCACACATCCACAGTGATTTTGTCCCACGGAAATTCTCGTAAAATCTCGAGCTCAATGCTTTCCACGTCTAGCGAGAAGTAGTCCACGTGGGTCTGGCCTATTGACAACAAGAGAGATGCGATGGGAAGACAGAGCATTCTGTTTTTCCCAATAACTTTTTTCTTTGTAAGAGGATTAATGGAGCCAGCATCTGAAGTCTTGGAAAATTGAAAGTCCACTTTTGTGGGTCGTGCAGTTATGCAAGTTGGGGATAGATAGGCATTCCTGCAAAATAGATAAATAAATACTATCCAGTTTGTTCGACTAATTTTGTCTACTGAAATTAAAGGATCTTTGTGCATGTAAAAAACACCTTTCAGACTCAATAAATATCCGTTTTAATGAAGTCCAATCAAAATATTTTATCAGCAAAACCTACCTATGTTTTCTAGATAGTTTTTCAAAATTGAGGGGGTCTGGCTCCACCAAAAGCCCAGTCCAATTCCGAGATTTTTCAAAAAACAAAGAGTTACTGTTCGTCTCTCCATCCCAAGCTCCACATTCCACGTAAAACCCACCCCGGCGTCCACGTAATATAGCATCAACTATCTGTGACTGTCCCCACTGGGAGTAGTGTATTTTACTTGTGTCGGTCAGGTTTAACTCTCCAAGGCGTCCTGGGGGCGGGGCATAGAGCCACTTCCGCCTCACGTACCCCAAGAGCCCAGGGTCAGTTAGGTCCAGGTGATTCGCCTCACGTGAACCTATCTCTCGAAAGACTGCAATGTCGTAGCTTGGGTTGTCGTTAGAGGCTAGTTGATGTGAGTGAATTCGTTCTGTGGACTGCCCTGGCTGTTGTATCATGCGTTTTAAAGCGACGAACAGAAGAATTAACATCAGCCATGTGAAACCTTGGTTTGATAGAACTGTGCATCGTCTGAATGACATCTGAAAATAAAAGACGCGTTTTTCACTGTTTTGAACGTGAAGTCGCTTTTTCTAATTCATTTTGTTGTTTTAGTGCAAAATAACGACTCTAATGACAGATTATTTCGAGCCAACTTTGTGAAAAATGCTGAAAGGACTCATAATTTCTGAAAAAATGACAAGCTTGAAAAAGTCACCGGACCCTCCTTTGTTTTTGGTTTGCCTCCGAGGTTGGCATGTACATCCTGAGGCAGCAAGAAAAACGTGTATTTCATGAATTCTAATGAACGGGAAATACGACGTGGCAGATCAAACTGCTCGTTTTGTCAATTATTCAAATGCCCGTCTTCAAAAAATGTTTTGAAATCTGTAAAAGATCTTTACTTTCCACCGCACATTAGGAAATCAAGATGGGCCTATTTGTCATGATTTTGTGTCAGACCCTTTTCAATTGAAATCAATCCTTAAAAATGGTGAGTGGAATGAAAAGAGTGCGTGTTTCTTAAAGTATAATTTATCCATGAAAACATATCATAGGAACACTGAAAAAAAAACTACCTTATATGCTAAAGGGTAGATTGTTTTCTGGAGCATATTAAGGCTTCGAATACATTATTCTTTCTAAACTGTGAAACAGTTGCTGCGGTCTAGCAATCATGAAAATTATTAATCTCGTTTAAAAAGTTCTAATGAGATTGATATTTCACAATAAATACATTGTGAGCAACTCACAGAAATATAATAAATTTCATTTTACCACCCAAAACAGCGGTTATTGCAGTTATTCTGGAATCTGTGCTTGTCATCAGACCACATAGATGGCTATATCTCCGTAATAATCTCTTAAAAGATTTTTACAAAAAAATAAAGAAACAAACTTTTTACCAAAAAAATGTACTTACTTTAAACGTCGGAATGGATTCATTAACTGTTGGAAAGTATGGGAAATCGTCGAATCCAGGAAAATCGTTTTTTGGCCAAAACGAACAATTGTTATCCCCTTAATACTAGTATAACTTACATCAAATTGATGTTTATCTTCTTTTCTTGGAAAGAACTTTCAGCATTGAAAAATCAAAACCCGTCCACGTCATTTCCAAACCTGGCCATCATGTGCAGAGAAACATTTGATAAAGCAACGGTGGCACTGCTACGTGGACAGCCCCTAGAGCGTTTCATGCGACATGTGAAAACTCGAACTATTGTCGGCTCACGCAGTAAAACTGTCAGAGAGAGAGAGAGAGAGAGAGAGAGAGAGAGCGAGAATTGGGTTTTGTACATGAGAGAGCTATAAATGTGAAAAAGAACAGCTTGGTCTTTCGCAGTAAAAAAGTTTTGGAGGGGACAAATGGGCACAAAGGAAAAAAATATTTGTTTGGATAATAGAAAGTACATTTCCATCAGAAGGTAATATGGCTTCAACACACTCCAAAAAAAAAGTATAAAAGTTTACTTAGACCTGTTGTACCTGAAGAACGCGACCGAGAGTCTCAATAACAGTCGTAGTTAACGCCTAACTCAGTTGCCCCCCCCTGACGCAGGGCGAGACGAATGTCCATTAGCGCCAATCACGCGTGTTTGAAAATATATTTTAAATTGCCAATTTAAGAGGGGATTAATAGGACGTTCTACCCCCTCTTGGCTCGAGCATGGGAAATTTGATCTAGATTAATCACTTCAAACAAGTCAGCATACCTGTTCAATACGTGACTCTTTTACAGTTATAGAGTTGCTGGAAAGAATGGAAGCGGGGTTTTTAATCTTATGTAGGGGGATTCAAAATATAGAGGTTTAATCGCGTTCATCTTTGACATTGATCGGTCTTGCAAGATCTTTACTTGGAAGTATTATAAATTTAAATGGCATAGCCTAGCTAGTTGACTGTATAACATAACCTTAAACAAACCGTAGACTGCCAAAGTGTTATATCACTCCTGAGAGAGAGAGAGAGAGAGAGAGATAGAGAGAGAGAGAGAGAGAGAGAAGAAGAAGAAGAAGAAGAGATTAGTCGTCGTCATCATCAGTTCCAAAGCTCAAACTTCACGTGTTTTTATCTAAGAAATAATTCTTCTATTTTTTGAAATACGGTTTTCACTTTCTATCTAAGCGGACCAGCTGTACACCCAACCCTTTCTTTTTTCTTGTTTTCGCACTTCTTTTCCAAAAATACTAATACCACCAATCAACATAAAAGCGAGGTAAACATGTATCATCACAGACACGTGAAAGTTCATGATCTTTTCCTTTAGACGGCTTCACGCATGACTCACGCCAAACCAATCGACTCAGGTAATGCAATTAACGTGGCGACGGCATAAATATGCATTAATCACAGCCAAACGGTGGTAGAGTTACACCATTGTATAAAACTGAATATCAGTCCATGTGGTTTTATTATATTATATTAATTATATTAATATCATCTGTTTTATTTTTTCAAACATGTATATAGACACGTTAATGCGGTATGAATTTGAACGCAATATATTTGATCTATGGATGAAATATGAGTCATATAAAATTTACCCTCCGAGAAAACTACACTTTATTACCATATTATGTATTTGCAATTAAGCGTATGCGTATCCACCTTAGTTTAAGATTCCTGTAAATTAAAGTTTGGATAACGTTGCATTGTCAGCATGGTTTTGCTGTTTCAAGCGGCTGAGGTTTGTGTCCAGTTTTCAACGGAACTCCTGTTAAAGGCTGGACTAAAAGGTTCAGCTTTATTGGATGCAATAACACAGAAGCCTTAATTCAAATTTTCCAAAAATGTATTTTCTGACTTGTGACGTTAGGAGCCACTTCAAACTATAAAATGATGTGAGCAATAAAATATATTAGCTTTGGGGTTATATGGTGAATACGCTCTTTTTATGTCTACCACTGCTGTGTACAGTACCTCGGCGTGTAAATGGCACAAACTTATGTCTATGGTGACGTGCGGTTCTGTTCACATCTCCGTGATATTTGGTTTAACAGTATCGGCCTGTGCAGATATTTCTATGTTGATTGATTTAGATTATAAAAAGAACAACGAAAATTGCTTGTTTGCGTAACCTTTCCGTGCATTAAGTGCAGAATGTTTTTGTCAAACCTGGAGTCGTGATGCATGCAGGTTTTCTTTTTACATGTGTCAAGTAAAACGCCAACTAAAACGTTAATAATATAAAAGTTACATGCTCATGCTAAGTATGCCTGCTCAATGCAGATGCGATGTTCTGCATATTAAAAATTAATTAATAGTTCACTACAGCGCCCCATAGTGTGTTTGTATTAAAACTTTACTCAGGTATTTCGGTTCTGTACGCCATTACTTCGGTACATCACTCAAGTGATTCGGTTCAATACCCATAGTATCGAGGTGCAAGATATATTTTCCAATAGCGCAAATATAATAGTAGAACCAGGGTGCAATACTCGTATTCTCAGGGTGCATAATAGGTGCACTCTGTTTGTCCTGTTGCTTTGTAAATAAAGTTGATGTATGCTTCAAGCTGTGCTTGATGCTTCCAAAAGGTTCTACCTGGCTTCTGGCAGGATTATGGCAGTTGAGAGGAGGCAGTTATCAATAAGCCACTGCACAGCTACTCCCACAGTGAGACTGATTTATATTGTAGACGCCAGTTAATGCACAGAAGCTGTATCTCGAGTCAGAACGTAAAGGATGCAGGCGACGTATATTTTACTGGCGTTGTCTTGTGTTCAGATTTCTCTTGCAAGGTACCATGAATCGGATCTGATTCTGTGGCTTAGTGTACGGTAGAGGATATTTGAGTGAGCTACCTACGAGACTTTGTATTCCACTACGAATTTGGTGCCAGCAGCGCCGTGGGTTTTTGAAGGTGCGTGTTACTTTTGGCCTGTAATCGTTGCCGGACTTACCAGGCAAGGTAACGGTTTAATTTATGTTGAATACATTAAATATATGCACGCATATACAGAAGTCCAGGCTTTTATGTAAGATCTCAATAACTGTGCCGTCAAGTATTGTTACGGCAGCGATCTTTTCAATTTATTTTATTATTTATTTTTTTCGTGACTGAGGGTTGTGAAGCATTTGCCACGATAGGTCTTTGAATTGGCGTTCTTATCTATACAACACGTTAACAATGCAAAAGGCACACGACGTTATTCGACGGCGTGGTGACGTAACGTCGCTATTATGTCGTCATCATGCAGTAGATATTATTGTGTATTCATCTTGATTAGGGCATTTGGTGTCGGTTTGTAGAAGCGACACGAGGTATACAGAGCTTGTGGCTTCAGCATTATACCACATAAACATGGATTAAAGCATATATAAGTGCTCGTACATGTACCATAGATCACACTTGAAAACGGGCTATATTCTGTACATGTATGTACTTAGTTGAATTAAACACATAAGAAATGATAATGTATGTTAGTCGAGATCAGTAAGTGACAAATATGGTAAGAGTTACCAGAAATGCATTAGCACTTGCTCACGGCTTGCATATAAACACATGACTCAGAAGAGAAAAAGCAGTTGCTGGCTAGCCAACAGCGCTGGATGTAGTTTCAAAGCATTCGCGTTTGGCTGATTAACGACACCCTTTATAGTATAAATCCAACCACTCGTGAGCCAGTAAACGAAAGAAAAAAATACAACATAAAAGCACTCTTCATATCGTTGCCTCGTTTCCAGGAACTGCCAAAGCCTTTGATGGCACTGAACAGGACTTCAATATTGATAAATGGACTATTTTCAAAGCAGAAAATGGCCTGTCTATTGATTAATCTTGTGGGTTTATACTATACGTAGCGATGTATATAAAGATGTAGGTCATGGGTTTTCAGTTCATAAATATTGTCTATTTGATCAATATACGGTTGAATATACAATATATACCATTATCATATGCTAACTAAGGCGACGTGTTAAACATGTACAGCAGGCAGAAAAAAATAGGCTAGCACGCCGTGCTGTAGAACATAGACGTTTACGCCAAATACGCCATGTAATCCTGGTAAGTAAAATGCTACATCACCATAAGGGGCTTATATACATGGAACGGCGTTCACTGGCAGATGTAGGGGTTTCCTTAGGGGTAATATTTTTTGCCGAGCCGAGGAAATGTAATACCGTTGTGTGTAAGACGCAGTGGTGGTTGATTTATTTGGTTTTGTGTCATTTTTTCCATAAATTTTATCGGGGGGGGGGGGGGGGGTACCTCCGAAGTAAAGGAGGGGAGTAGATGCGTGACCCACTAAACCCCCTCCTGGATCTGCCAAAGAGGTTCTCAGATAGTGCTATAGTGGGTTCGCCATAGGTGGCCAGATAGCATCCAGTAAAAAGAGGAGAAAAAGAAACAAACAGAGCCGTTGGCAGATTAATTATATCGACTTTCTTTTCCTTCGTGAACTTAGAATTCCAAGATGATGAAATACTTTATTGAACTTCCAGTACTGCACGTTGCAGGGTAACATTACGGTGTTGAACGACAGAATAACAGCAAATGCAAGCCTAGAGCAAAGTAGTTAACATGTGGGCAGTGTTGTACCATCAGTCCAGTATTTGAGTGCACTGTAGGCGCGGTGGAGGGTGGATGACAATAATATAGCATTATATTTGTATTGGAACGCATTTGCCTTGGCATACAATCAATTGATTTTCGGAGATGTGTTTTATCAATGGCGTGTTAAGAGTCTTACCCTGACATTATTCACATCTCGTCCTTTATTTAAACGAATAAAATATGCGTTTTATGCTTAATTGTATTGTCGTACTATTATATATCCTCGCCATATTGGGCCCTACATTAATTGCAGAAATTGCAAGTTTATAGAAAATTTCAATTTGCTTTCCATTTCATACTGAATTTGGGTAATCGTTCTCAAAAGAATTAACATCTTATTGAGTAACATATATGTTCAGGCAAACAATAGAAGAGAGTTTATATTATTTTTCGTCTATATAAGTAGTAATCTTAATATTTATTTTTCTTAAATTAAATATACATTAAACATTAATAATTATTATAGACGCAGATTTGTATATCACGTATACAGTATGAATGGTACTTTCACTTTCACTTACGGTGTTGGTGATAAGGATAAGTTAGGGCAAACACTTGTTGTTAAAATGATATAGTATGTTTACTTTTCTATTTCTTTTAGGCTGTAGTGAAGGAGAGGGCGGAAACCCCAAGAAAGTCCATATGTACAACTACGCAAGAAGGAGCATCTGCAACTATGGCGGAAAGAAAACCTAAGTTCAGCAAATTCGGACAATTCGAGCCACCTACCACTCGAATTAAAAATATCATACTCCAATATTGCGGCGACTCTTCCACGATAGGAATGGCTGAGATAGTGAAAGAACTTATCCAAAATGCAGACGACGCCAGAGCGACACAGGTTCATCTTATCTTGGACAAACGATACCTACCGGCAGATAAAGTATGGGATGAGTGGCGCGGAATGCAAGGCCCCGCTTTCTGTGCCTATAACAATGCCGTTTTCACAGCGGAAGACATACAGGCCATTCAGAAACTCGGCGTTGGCAGCAAAAGTTCCGATCCAGATAAAACTGGTCAGTTTGGTATAGGATTTAACGTCATGTATCAGCTCACAGATTGCCCAAGCCTGCTTTCCGACGGCAAAGACCTTTGCCTTTTTGATCCCCACTCTAAATACGTACCAGGTGCGACGGTCACGTGCCCTGGTGGCCATATCAACCTTTGTGAGGATCAAGAGTTCCGAAAAACCTGGAAGGACGTGATGATCGGATACTTGCCTGGTTTTGTGCAACAAGAGGGAGGGACAGTTTTCAGGTTCCCTCTCAGACACCAATACATGGTGTCGGACATTTCACAGATATTCTACAATGAAGACAGTATAAAGGACTTAGAGTATGAATTGCGGAATTTAGAGTTCAAGTCTTTTGTGCACAATTGCCTTCTTTTCACAAAGACCATATCTCGTGTTGGCGCGTCCGTGATTGATACAGACGGCAAACTGAACACGTTATTTGAAATCAAAAGGAAAATCAACCCAGGGATGTTAAAAGACTTAAAAGAAGCCTACAAAAAGACCTCGGAGAGCATGCGGCTTGTGCTAGAGGGTAAACTCTCCCTCAGTGAGGTTCCGAAAAGGTGCGTCACATACAAACTGACCACCATTGACGATAACTTCTCTACGGACTGGATGGTCAATCAGAGTTTCGGCTTCCATGGGGAGCTGGAGCCAGAAGACAGGTCATTCCTAGAGGAATTTTTATGCCAAGATGTCTCAGGAAAGAAATTTAGTCCCATTGCAGGTGTAGCGGCAAAACTCAGCGGGCCTGTGCAAGGAGCAGCGTTCTGCTTCCTCCAGCTACCTATCAAAACTGGGTTAAGCGTCCACATTAATGGACATTTCGCCATACACTCATCTCGGCGAGGTCTGTGGACAAATACGGCTTTTGGGTCGTGGAACCGTATCCTGCAGCGTTATGTGATAGTCCCTTCTTATTGCTCATTGCTCAAGACGGCAACAAAGGCAACAAAGTTAGGTAATGTTGCCTTGTGGTATAATCGTCTCCTCCCCGATTGCAGCACAGCCACTGATGCCTTCTTCCAGGAGATATGTAAAAGGGTATACCTATTTATTCGGGACTATGACTTAAAGGTCATACCCATAACACGCTCTATGACTGTATCCGCTCTAGTCGCCCATAAACTTGAGTTCCACTCCATTGCTGAAACGCTCTTTTTGGCGGGCTTACGGAATGTTGACGTGGAAAAGATGCTTCTGGTTTTGGGGCACAATGTGTGCTCACACCCAGAGGTGTCGCTTCGACTGATCTTTGCTAAGACTCCGGACCTTCAGTTCCTGTCTCCCAGAGCAACAATGGAGTGTCTACGAAAGTCTGCAGAACCCATGGGCCTTCCAAAGCTAGTCAACCAGACACCGTTCCTCTCTCCCGAAAACGTGAAAAAACTTCTAGAATATTGCCTGATACAGAACAGTGAAGCGGAGAAAAATTATCAGGCGTTACATGGTGTCCCACTATGTTTTACTGCTGACGGACATCTCCGGATTTTTGACACAGAACACCCGGTGTTTGTTACACTGGAATACAGGGGACTTCTGCCCCATCGTCCCGACCTTTTCCTTCACCCTGAAGTAGCACACTTGTTCAGCGTTAGAAGTGATACCAAAGCATACCTTCCAGTGCGTCAGTTGTGCCTTGAAGATGTCTCAAAGTTTGTTGAAGAAGACGCGAAATACATACACGAACCGACATGGGTTGAATTAATGTGGCGATTTATGAAGAATCACATTGGTAAGAACACCACCCGCCTAGAGCTGCGCCCAGTGGAGCACCTGCCTCTCTTGCCGACCTCTAGTGGTAGATTCTACACCATGGCCGAAGGGAAGCATGTTTTCAGCCTTGCTAGGACCGGGAAGGAAATGGCTGCCGTCTTAAATAAGCTGGGTTTACCGTCTCTGGATCCCAAACAGGTGTTAAGTGATGACGTCACAGATCATGACGTAGAGACGATAGCCAAACCGTGCGTCCTGGATGCATCCGAGCTGAGTGACCTTCTCGAAGTTTTGGCTGTTAGTTGGAGCCGGAACCAACCTTCTGTTCAGTTTACAGAAGAGGAGGCAGAGACCATGCTCCATTTTGTGAATACGGGTTTGCGGATTATAAGGACCAGCTCAGTCTTTAAAGACCCCATAAGGCGCCTTCCCATATTTGAAACCATCGGGGGTTACTATAGCTCAGTGGATGGGGAAGCTGTGATATTGGATGAATCAATTCCTCTGCGTGGAGTCACAAACTCCATGATGCGTAGTAACTGTGTGTTGCTGCGAGAAAGAAAATCGTACTTGGAGTTGTACAGAGTACTGGGACTGAGAAAGAAGAGCACAGTCCTCGTTTACGTCGACCACATATTCCCGCATTTTCCAGAATTACCGCCAGAGATTCGCGACGCGCACCTGCTCTGCATAAGAGACACTGTCCTCCCTATGCTCTCTACCAGCCCCATGGAATTATCACAAATGTCTCAGCGCATGTTTTCCATGGAGTTAAAGAAACTGCCCTTTATTCCGTTTGAAGACCAGTTGCTGCCAGCGAGTTGTTTTTACCCCCCAGAGCTAGTGCTGCTGGACCTCCTCGACCGCCATCATCCTCTACCGGAGCAGTACCTGGATGAAAAATGGAGAGAGATGCTAGAGGTTGCCGGACTCAAGACGGCGATATCACCCGAAGAATATGTGCAGTGTGGACTCCAGATAGCCTCCATGGGAGATGACGTAGAAATAGCGAGGGAGAAGGCCCAGCTGCTGCTGGACGAGATTGTTAAGAACCATTGCAGCAATGGAATCCTTTACCAGATTTCGACGATACCATTCATTCCTGTTGAAAAGGACATTTTGAATGAAGCTTTGTACCAGTTGTGCCCTCCCCTGGAGTCGAAGGATTCCTATATCAGCCTTCGAGGTTCTTTGATTTACCAGAGTCATCACAAGCAAGATATACTGAAACACGGGGTCCTTACATGGACAAGCTGTTTAACCCTGCCGTCATGGGTTAAATTATCTCGCGAAATGATCCACGAACTTGGTGTGAAATTCATACCGGATGTTGAAGCCGTTGTCAAACACTGCACCATGTTGGCTGAGGCATCATGGGAAGAGCTCTCAGATGATAGCCTGAGGCTTATGCAATTCATATTCAACTGCGCTTACGACTTCCTCAGTCAGTGTTGTATGTGCTTTTCAAAATCGTGCCCAGAATGTATGGCAGTAGCCACTCTACGTAAAAAGGAAATTATCATTCTTAGTGAAGGGAAAATCAAAACGTTACCATCAAAACTGGTCCTTAACCTACCAGATGAGGTAGACACGGACACGTTGCATCCACATGTGTACAAGAGGCCAATAGATATGGTGCAACATGATGATTTATTCCGCAGACTGGGGGCCCAGTCCATAGCTAAAGCCGACACATTTGCCCAAGTCTTGAGCCATCTGCGGTTCGAATGCGGAGAAAACACCATGGACCTTAATCAAAGGGCAACGGCCAGCACAGCAATGTATGGGCTCTTTGTGACTTTGCGGAATGATCCTAGTCAGGCGTTCATGACGCGACCACTGTTCCTACCGTCAGACAAAGCTGTCATGACCCTCTCCTTTGAACTGATAGCAAGAGACAATGAGCTGGTCGCCAAGAAATATAAGGATGACACGTACGACTATCTGTGCAAGCTTACAGCGTGCAACCTGTATCGTAACGCAAAGGACTACGTGCTACTTCTCCCGCCGGAGGTTCGACCAATCTTGCTATCAGATTTGGTACAAGAGGATATAAATATTGACTCATTGTGTGAATTAATGGAATCGGAAGAAGGATGCCCGTATATAGAGAAATATAAAAACGTTTTGGGTTCGGATAATATGAGCGATGCGCTGGTGGCTCTAGCGGCCGTCCCTTACAACGAGAGCGGTCCTCTACGAGACAGACTGGAGGTTTTACAGGCGGCTAATGTACAATGTTTTAACAGGATGAAGTCACAACTTCTTGTGAAAGGAAAACCTCTGGAGGGAGCAAAGATGTCGGAGAAATATTGTCACTTGCAGGTTGATCCAGAAGAGTGTTTTTATACGTTGTACATTAAACACAACCATGAATACCCGGGCGATGCTAACGTCACATTTGCTGTTGCTGACGTCATCAAGTCTCACCTCAATGTGGAGATAGACTCGGGGCAGGTTGTTAAACTACTGCGATGCAGTGGTGATCTGGAACAAACGGAGGACATTTTAGCTGGGGAGGGGGCAACTCTGAACGCTCAAGAAGACCTTTTAGATGGGCCAACCCTCGGCACTGTTGTCCCAGATCGAAAACTCTTCGCCATGCATCCCAACGTAAGGCTTCAACCGAAGGAATACGTATCCTACCTACAGACCAACAAATCAACAGGACAGGAAATAATGGTATATGCCAGGGTCGTCAATGAAAATGTGGAGCAAAGAATCAGAGCGGTTGGGAATATGTTCAAAGAATATAAGATTGACATCGGCCTCGGTTATCCTGTCGCTGCGCATGCGTTGGACCTCTATCGAGAAGGCAGAAGGTTTCCAGATCTCCTCAAAGGTCAGAAGTCATCTGACGAGCAAGAAGATGATGAAGACACGGACGAGAGCGATGACGAAGACGTTTCCAGAGATCATGTCGATCTTTCTTCAGAGATTGGTCAAACAACCGCCATTTTGACCCAGCTGCTCGAGGAGACGTACAGTGATGTGCGATGGGTGCCGCTGAGGGAGAAGATGGCCACTCGACTGTTGAAGACTTGGGAATGCAGCCAGGATGGTAGGCCATTTAACTCGGTCTTTGTTGTACGTGTTATACAAAATATTTTATACTTGGTGGTAAAAAAGTTAAAAACATAAAAGTTCTCACACAGGTAAAAAAAATGGGAATGTCTATTTACAGTCTGTGTGCGATCTTTCTGTTATCTGGCGCACATTTCAACTTCATAGATACTCCATATATCTGATGTGTGAATACCAGTGAAAGATTTTTTCTGCCTAAAAGTTTATTTAAAAAGTAAATTGATAAAGATTTCTATTTTTAAAACTCACTAATACTACATATAATATTTACATACCCTTCAGTATTCAAACTGTTTCTTTCGTTCCGTAAAAAAAGTCCAGCTTAATTTTCTTACTCGTGCAGTCATATATGAGGGAATCGTTTTCCAGATTACGACGCAACAGAAGCAGAGACCGTTCTTAGACACCTGCAGCAGGAAATAGAACGAGTAGAGCGCCAGTACGCAGGCGTGGTATCTTTGTACAGGGAACAGGAAGAAGAACGAAGAAAGATTGAGCTTGGTATGTATAGCGAAATGAATTAGCTTATTGGGTGAGGCTCATACTACTCAACTCAGGTGGCCTTTTGCTTGTTGTCGATAAGTGGCACAGCTACAACGGGGCTCAAGCTACGAAGACACGGTTTTGAACCCAGCAAACACTGAACGTTATTATAACGTTACCATAATGTTTCTCATGCCATTGAACATGATTGAAAAATCGAACCTCTGTGTAAACTCTTTTGAGTACCCATAAGAAGAGATTGGGCTATAAATTTCAGTTATTTTGAAGGTTCGAAACGATATATATTGGTAAAAATCTTCATAACGTCAATGTTACAAGCTGTACCACTTTTTCTTTTTCAGCTGAGCGGGGCTTGGTAGATCCAGACCCTGAATGCGCACGCAGACTCTTCGCCATTGCTCTACGAGACCTACCGACAGCCGATGTTATGCTCGAGACGGGCCTCACAGAATGGTGCTGTTCTCTCTGTACCGAAGTCGTTAGAAAAGTCCTGATAGGGACCATTGTGAATCACGGCTTGGCCACCCCAGAACAAGCACTCGCTATTCACAGCCTTCAGCCTTTGCTTGCGTACACAATGCGCCTGCAAAAGAGACCCATCCAGCTAGTCGCAGACGTGGACGTCTTTAGAAGAACCAGCGCGGATTATATCGAGTCATTTGATCCGTCCTCGAGGAGATATAGCAGACCGGAAGTGACGTATACTGAACAGGTGGCGCGAAAAATTGTTGACGTCACGCACAGAGTTGTGACGTACTTGGCGGGGTTTAATGAAATTGATCTGACGTCGAAAAATGACGATGTCGTCGATGAGAACATGAACTCTGAAGCAGAAGTGAAATCATCCTAAAATGAGAATATTTCTTCACAAAATGTTTATTTTGTCGAAGTGTCTGCTAAGAATTGACACAAGATGATGATTAAAATCGTTGCAGGACGACGAAATCGTCAGAAAAGAGAAAATTAAATTTGAATCAGATAATGCAAAATGTATGCGATTTCAATTAGCTGATATTAACGCTGTATTTAATATTCCTTTTTGTGTGATATTACTAAAAGTGATTCAAGATTTGTCATCACATAACCAGATTACGTATGTGTTGAAAGTTACACGTATATGTACCTTTATGATGTTTAAAGATTTAATAAGTTTTCTTTGCAGACGATAGATGTAGAAGTAACTGCTGATATTTAGAGCAAAAGTCTGTTCATTTGTTGGACGATATTCTAGTCTAGTCAAATGCATATTTCATCACAACCATATCGACTGTATCTGTAGAGATGTAAGAGGATTTGTGACACGTACATTTAAAAGCCTAATCGTATAATGTCGACAAACATAAGAGTTTCTAATGGGTATTTTTACAATTGAACTTTTTGGCGCTCCGTGGGTGCTATTACAATTGAACTTTTGGCGCTCCATGGATAATTTACAATAGTAGTTTTTTGGTGCTCCAATCCAGTTCTGTCTACATTTGGTAGTTTTATACAAAGACGGGGGCTGGCGGACAGAGACTCTAGATCTATCACTGACATTGATATCGCCGACGCAGCTCGTTAATATCACCTTTATTAATACTAGTATACCTCTTGATTGAGGAATACATATTCATACCTATGACAAAATTAAGAGAAAATCCGAGACCTATATTACTTCAAGTACAGAAACTACCACCAAAATTTCAAACAAAACACAGATCTAGTACCCAAAACTATACAATTTCTCATACGAGCCCAATTTTGAATCAACGTTTCTTCTGGGCACTACTGACAAAGCATTACTTTGGGTATGTAAAGATTAAATAAAGAGATTATTACCGTAAACAGCATACTGCATTCAACTTTTATCGGACACGGTGTTGTGGGTGACTACATGGTCCATGTGTGAGGGGCGAAAGTTTTTTTTCGTTTTATGGAGAAATGAAGATCACTTAGGCCCTCGAACGCGGCGATGCAGAACTAGGGGATAATCATGTGACCCATTGCCCATCTTCATCCCAGTGAGGAAATGGGCATCAATGCTATCAAATGGACACTCACCTGTTGATTGAATATCCTATTTAGCTCAAGTCAAACTTATTATATGCCTATTTCAAGTCCAGAATTTCGGGAATTTATTGACCTGTACGACATAAACGCGTTCACTATTCACGGAACGCAGACTAAACTTTTCTTCCACGTACATGAGTAGACGAGTTCAGAATTTTGATGAGAGGGGTGTTTGTGACATAAGGTCAAATACTTTTTGTCGAGAGAATCGAGGCCGACTACTACGATATTTCGATTTCCATGCTCCTTCTTTTTTTTTTTTTTTTTTTTTTTTTTTTTGAGGGGGAGGGGAGGGGGGCACGCGACCCACTTTGTGTCTACCTGGATCCGATTTTGACATGGATGCGGTATAAAACGTCATTATTTTTCCATTTTAGAACTCTAAACAATAGGCTGATTTATATATGAATCAATGTTGCAATATAAAAACATATAACGTAACTTTAGAGGATATGGAGAAGGCAGCTTTGTAAAAATATCCTTTAGAAAAAAGTAATGTATTAAGATTGTATATGTAAAATGGTGCTAAAATGACACAAGTTTGTTAATAAATTTGTTAATACCTGATGCTTCTGTCTTCAAATACGATTCACACGATAGTCTATGATATAATTCCCTGGTTAAACACATTTTATATCAGATTGATATGCAAAATTATTCAGACTACAATTTCATCAGACTTTATTTCCTTATGCTTCAGTGCTTTTAGTTCACCTAATAGTTTATATGCATTAAATGACAAAACATGTTTAACCACAATGCATAATCACAATTCTAAGGTAAAAAATGATGAAAAAAAAAATAAAAGTGGCAGAGGAACGTGTGTTTATCCATCCCTTCAAACAGAAAGGTGATCAGACATTTGCAGGCTTGTTAAAGTCAACTGATTAATGGACTTTTCTGCGTTATCTTGCCCTATTCTTTAGTTAATAGATCGGTGATGGCTTGCATTATCGCCCCTTCTTTAGTGTTCCCATCCCATTGGGTAAGGCCTGGTCTTGTGATCTTCTCTTCCAAAAGTTTGTCGAGTTCACGTCGAAGATCCTGCCAACAATCCATCAAATGTGAAACTTGCAATGCGGGCACTTCTTTATCATTTTAATAATTTACAATTTAGAATATGCCATGAAGATTTTTTCAAGTATAAAAAAATTTTATGTGCAAATATTTGAAAGCATATTACAAGCATGAAAAAGTTAAAAAATACAGTTAAACTGTAAACCACAAATCAACAAATGCCAAAAATTCAATCTCCTTGGTACAAGTGATTACCTTGACTAGATTTGCTGTTTTGGCCGAAGATTTAAAAATGATCCAATCATCTACAGTCACACAGTCCATATCTTCATCCTGAAAATTAACAATGAACTGATGTTATTTTATGTTATCAGAATAACTGTCACATTTAATGATGCAGAATCATGGCTGAGGTGCCCTAGAGTGATACTCCACACAGCATGCTTTTCCATTTCACTCAGTTGTCATAGCGTATGTAAACATAAAATGAAAATATCACTTGTCTCAATATTTCCTTTTTTTATGAAACCTTGTTTATATCTACTAAAATAGTCAAATTTTTATTCAAATCGGCTGCACAAGCCGCATTTTGAATGTTCACACTCTAGGTGTGCTTACACTTAAAATAGGGCAACCAATTTTGATACAACTTCTAGGGTGATCTGATAACTTTAGCTAAGTTCATCAAAGTCAGTCTGTGTATGCCCTCACTTCTCCAAGGTTAATCTTTTGTCTTGGCAAGCAATGGGGTTGATGCTGTTGGCAGACGAGGGGGGGGAGTGAGGGTGGTGAGGGTGGATGAAAAGGAGGGTAAAGTACATAGTCTGTTGTGAGAGCAGCTTATGCAGGATCCCTACAGAGAAGGGGTGTACAGAGAAGATTTATTTAATCTTCCATGTAAAATGTGCCCCATTCTCCTCTCTCATTTTTGCCAGTGTACCTTTTTGACGCCAATGTCCCCTCCAAAGAAAAGCAATGGGTATGGAGATACCACTGTGCTGTCATAGAGAAAAACCTACAAAAGAAAAAAAAAAGAAAAAAGAAAATAAATAAATAAATAAAGTAAAATAATTAGAAGAAATACATTTGTACCAAGGTTTGCTTTTTGTATGCAAATATAAAATTGCCAGTTTTATCAGTGAGTAGAGAGTAGAAATTTCTAAAAGGTTTAGCATAAATTATATGTAAGAAATTAAAACACTTAAATTTGACAAAGCCAAGTGATCTAAAGACCTATTTATGACATTCTTTACTTCTCCACTGCCCTTACTTTTATATCCATTATATATATATATATATATATATATACTCTCATTTATGTTGAAAGAAGGCATTGAGAACAAGTTGATCCATGAACTAACTTCGGAGCCCAGATTTAATTTGTTTCATGGCACGATGGAGGCAGGAGACCATCAGGGAATTAGCAGTATCGTTTTTAGTTGGGTCGGCCATATTTAGTCAGTGGATCACTTAGTCTGCAGATCATCTGTTTTGAATGCACTCAAAGACTATTGGCCTCTATATCAATCGCACCACAGTCCTACACTTACATTTGTGGTGCGATTGATATAGAGGCCAATATATATCAATCGCACCACAGCCCTACACTTACATTTGTGGACCTCATCTTCAGATGATACACCATCCACTGTGACTGGCACTGTCTCTCTTTGCAATTTACAGACTTTGGGTGAATACTGCATCTCTCTGTCTTTGTGTTCACCTTTGGACCCCTGGATGAAAAAGGGAAAACAAACTTTTAAAAATTTACAGGATGGATCAAGAATGTTAAAAAGGGAGCTGGGGTGTTAAGGGAAAGGGCAGGGGCAATGTTTGGCTCACTAATTAATAACTAACTAATTAATTAATAACTTTTAAAAAATTATATTAGTAGTGAAAAAATAAAATAAACCAAAATATACATTGAAGAAATGTGCACTCTAAAGTATTGTGACCCCTCCCCTTTTTGGAAAGGAACAGGGGCTGAATCCAACATTTTGACTTGAACAACAGATTATGGGAGAATGCGCATCAACTAAATTCCAAGATGACTGGTTGAAATTAAAAGACTGAAGACTGTAAAATAAAGCTTTAAAAATTCTTAATTGAGTCTGAAAAGTGTACTTTAATTTAAATGATATAGTTTGCGGTGTTCATGTAAATATATTATAAAAACTGAACCTAACAATAAGGTAAATCATTTAAAAAAATGACAAAGCATTCCTTACATTTTCAACTGCTTGACTCTGCCGACATTTGGATAGAGACCTGCACATATCACAGCTTTCAGCAAATTGGTATTATCTGGGAGAAAATGATCAGAAAAGAGTGACATATATAAGACAAATAAGAGAAAAAATTCTAAAAGGTTTAGCAGAAATGATATATGACAAAGCCAAGTGACCTAAGAGATCTATTTATGACATTCTTTATTGCTCCAATGTCCTTATCAAGTAGGTGACAGATGAAAAGTTATAAAATTAAAGTATTACACAATCAGAAAGTACAAAGTAAAAAAATTAACTTAAGACCACCCACAGATGTAAAACATTTATCACAACTGATATCAGAAAATGTACATGATACTGGTACCTACAAGAATTTAAATTGGCAGCGGGTTGTTTGGGGTCGGCAGATCCAACAAACTTCACATCATAGAGAAGCTGAGCAAACTGTCCTTTCATAGACTGAATCATCTGAAAAAATATTATCATTAGGAAGGCACGCTCTTGTTCACCAGAAACAATTTCAAGTAGTTGGGAAAATTTGCTTTCAAGCACTAAATCATTGAAAAACTGTGTGACATAAGCTGTCTTAACATCTCTAACAACACATTAGAATGTATGTAATGGTGCTTATTCAAAGTGTAACATGTAACAATTTGATACAAAATATATGAGAAAATTCTGTTGACCAAACACACACACACACACACACACACACATACACACACACACACACACACACACACACACACACACACACACACACACACACACACACACACACACACTATCACTTGTGAAAATTTATCAAAGTGTTCATACCCTAAGTGTTGAGGGAGACATGAAATTATCCCAACAATACTTCTGTGCGCTGCTCGTGCCTCCTCTGTCTAACATGCGCTCCCAGTTACGAAAAGCATAAACCAGCATCAGGTGGTCACTCTGAGAACCCTGGGATAGCTCACGCTTTTTGGCGTCTGCTTGCTGTTCTTTGCCCTGTGGATGCCATACATGAAACAATTGCTTTTAAACATACATGAATTCAAAGGATATTTAAATACATGTGAATAGTGTTTGAAAAAAAATTCAATAAACAAATGCTTGACTGTGTTCTCAGTTTATTAAGTATAAAAGAAAATTGACAAAGGTAGTGCTTGGCTAAATTGTCAAGTAGCGTGTTTAGGCCCTTGGTTCAAAAAAAAAAAAAAAAAAAAAAAACAGGTCAGTTCCCTGGCTAAGTTGACTAGGATTTCCATGAGAGTGCTGTTACACTGTTCCTGACAAGGTAAAAATGCCACTGTGACCATGTAACCATGGTAAGTAAGTTCTTAGCCAGGGAACCTGACTTGAGATTTCTTGCCAAACCATGGCTAGGAAATAAGCAGGTGCCACGCCTACCAATGGGACTACAAATGGATCCTTAAAGCTGAGACTGGCTGCCACAGTCAGGATAGGATCCAGACAGCAGAACATGGCTCCAAACAGGATCATCTTTCCAATATGGGGGTCCACGGGGAGTTTGGCAAGATGAAACCCCAGGGGGGTCAGATCCTCGTTGTGGTCCAGGGCATTCTGGAAGCAAGATGTATACTTGATATAAAAATATAAAAACATATGGGGGGGGGGGGGGGAACCAATAGTTCAACTAGTTCAAATCAACAAGGAACTTTGAAAAAGTCTGTCATTTACAAGGATTTAGAAAAAATACATTTCTATTGCTTTTCCTGAGGTTGCACGCAAACCCCTCTTTCTCTTCAGACTAAATGGGTTCGGCACCAAATCTACCAATCAATAGCCTTGAAACCATACTGAACATTGAACAGATATTATATACATTACTACAAACTTCATGGAAAACATTCAGCCATCTCCTACCATGTCAGTGAGGTTTATAACTGCCTTGTTGAGGGCCTCCATGGACGGAGTCTGCATGGCTTTGCTCACAAAGGGCTCTATTTTACCCAGTTTTAACAGCTGCAAATAGAAGTCATAATGTAAGTACACTGCCACTGTGGACAGCTGGTAGTGGCTGAGTAGAGTACATTTATTTTATCATATGAAAGTTTTCAATGGTTTAAGAGCATATTCAGACAAAAATTTGAATTCAATTCCTATTCTTATACAAGACAATCAATCAAAGTGTATAATACAAATGAATACATAAATAGTTGCCCCTATGTCACTGACTGAGTCACCTTAATTTGTAAGCACAACTCTTCCAGTCTAGTTCTCAACATCTCAGGGAGTTGATAGTCTTTGAGTTGCCTTTCTTGGTAAGTTGTAAACAAGTGAAAACACTTGCCTGGCTGAACCCTGTATAAAAGACCAAGTGAGAAGTGGGATAATAATTCATCAAAATCTTTTTATATTGATACCATTTTGGATTTATATTCAATTCATCTTTAAACCACTGCACTAGAATTTATCAAACATACTCCCACACATACAAGTATTTCCAATGCTGTCATGCACATGAATTCAGACACAAACAAATACTTCTGATGCAAAAATGCTATTACCTGCCAGCTCGCCCCCTTCGCTGTCTCGCATTAGCCTTGCTGACCCACTCTGGTAACAGAGTTGCCACATTGGATTGAGCATCGAAGTTACTCAGCTTGATTTTCCCAGCGTCTATCACAAAAACAACATCATCTATCGTGATGCTGGCAATGTGAAAATAAAAGAAAAGGATCTCAGTTACTCTTAAAGGTCTGTTTTCTCAGATAGAGTTACTTTTTATTCTAGGCAAAGGGAGGGGGGAGTGAAGACTTCATAAAGCCTCTAATCCTAATCAAAATATACTAGTCTTTAGAGGAAACATACTGAGGAAACACTACATCAGTCTTTTTGGTCAAATTTCTGTTCTGACAAAATCTGACCTGACAAAAAATAAAAAAATCATGGTTATAACTGGAGACTGAACTGTATATGCTGCAAATAATTCAGATTACAGCACATCAACTGAAATCCCAAGCAGCTGTCGCATACCTTGTTTCAGCAATATTTGTGGCGATAATGATCTTTCTGACACCAGGGGGCGGGCGCTCAAACACCTGCCGCTGGTTCACTGTAGGCATCATAGAGTGGAGAGGTATAATTCTGAATGAATCTGTAAAAAATGATAATCCGTAGGTTTACTATGGCTTTCAAAGACAACAAGAAAATTTAATATTCTGGTTTCAAAAATTTTGGCACAACTGGCTAAGTGGTGAAAGGGGGGTCTGCTTTTATTGTAATCAAAGAATACTTTCAATTGAAAAAGAAAAAGCATCAAAGAGACAAATCTACACAAATGTTAAAAAAACACTGGGCATTAATATTTTGAAAAAAAAAAAAAATTGAAAATAAGTATGTGGTCAAACTTGGCCGACTAAACTGACTGTAACTGAATAGCTCAAACTGCATGTACACTGCTCAACCATACAGTGACTCATTGTGATATGTTGTACTTAATATTTCATCAGAATGTTGTCAACAATAAGAATTTTACACCTCTAGACAGTTGGGCTGGTAGCTTGCAAATTTTCCCAGCCCAATCAGTTTTAATTGCCAATAAAAGAAACATTGTTATTTTACAGTAGTTTCAATATGATGAACTTAAGGTTCCTATCAAAATGCTTTGTAAGGTAAATTTGTCAGATTATTAAGGATGGAAATTAAAAAAATAGAACTTCTAATAAGAAGTTTGTTAACATAAGTATCATAAGAATATTTTTTGAGCAGTATGGATTAGTGTTCATTTTTATAATTTACAAATCAGATCTACTACTAATTACTAATATTTTATAATAGTGTTTGTCTGGCAGACTATGCCTAATTTGCACATTATTTCATGTGCCGCATGATATCAATGAGTTATATACCACAATGTCAGATGGGATTATGTGGACTAGTTACCTGTTTTAAACATAAAGTTTGCAGTGAGAACTTCATTGAGTTTCTTGATGTCTTCCCACCCTGGCAAAAACACCAGTATGGCACCATCCTAAAACATATATAAACCCTGAATTTGTCAAAGAGTAAGACTCATAAACAAGGTCTGCTCAATTGTATCCCTTAGCACTTGTCTTGTAGCGATAATCATATTTATAGCAATAGAAACCGAGATGAAAAATGATATAAATGTTGACGTGGCTGTCACAGTCATTTTTACATTAAATCTGTAATGCACGCCCAAGATCAAAGTGCCTCCTCAGTTTTTGGTAAAAAAAAGCACATAATTCATTTTATAAACAGACAAAACATGATTTTAAAAAAATCTTGATAATGTTTCCTTTTCTTTTTTTAAACAGACAATGATAAAACCTATTTCTCCATGTTAAGTAGTGGTCATGATCCCAGTACAATATCTGCTTACTCACATCACTAGTCTTGATGATATACTTGATCAACTGCTCTATCAACATAACGTCTATCTTGTCATAGTCCATTGTTCTCAGGGTCTGTAGAGTATCAGGGGAATACCTGGAAAATCAGTACTAAGTTACGAAGTGAATCATTTCATTGAAATGAACATCACACTTTTAGACCTTCTGTGGCCAAAAGTATTCAAAAAAGTTTTCTGTAAGAAAACGATATTAAATATACTTCTTCCTTTTTTTAATTTGAAAAGGGCAGTTATGATCACCCAAAATACCACCTCCCTGTTAATAGCACAGATACAATCAAACCATGAGAGGGAGAGAGAGAAATAGAGATCTTACTTGTGACGTATGGAGGCAATCCATTCATTAAGCAGCCACTCTTCTTCTTCTTTCTGTGCCAACATCTCTCTTTTCCTCCTCCCATAGATTCTCCTCTGTGGTTTGTTAGAAGTGTTCTCGGGTGGGGAATACCTGAAAGAAGAAATAAAGAACCTTTTCATACTAAGACATATACAAAATTGCTTTGTAATTCAGGCATAGGAACACCTGGTTTGTTGTGGCAGAATCTTTCTACCAGATTCTAGGTTCAAACTTACACCCAGGAAATCAAACTCTCAGATAGGAAACCCAATAAAGAAATGGGGAGAAACATCATTAACAAACATGAGACCTTAGTTTTTAAGAGAATAAAAAAGAGTTATCTTAACATATGGCAAAAGATATTATCTTTTAGGGGCATATTGCATTGCAAAAAAATTACAAACCTTAATGTTTCAATGACATCCTCCAGATAAACCTCTTCCACTGGGTATGTGAATCCTGGTATGTGAATCATAGGGCATCCGCCTGGAAAATGTGAATCACATTAAAAAATTGAAAATGACAACTAGACACAACAAAATTGCTTATAACGTGACAGAATGGTTATTTGAAAAACATTTTTACCACGTAGATGATAATATACCCTTTCCTTTACATTCTGAAAAAAAAAAAGATTTAAAATAAAAGTTTTCAAAAGTTTGTACTTATATACAGATAAGGCAGCACTTGTTTTAGCAAATTAAATTTCATATAATCAAAAACCGAAGATGCTTTGGTGCTCTGTGGGGTACTTTCTTTAAACTTATTAATAAATTAAAACTGCACACTTAAAATGATCACTATGTGCTAACTTTTCTTTAAGATAATTTTAAAAGTTAAGTAATAATAAGAGAGAGAGAGAGAGAGAGAGAGAGAGAGAGAGAGAGAGAGAGAGAGAGAGAGAGAGAGAGAAAATTACCAAAATACTCTGAAAACTGTTCAGCATTCAATGTGGCACTCATTAAAACTACTTTGAGGTCTTTCCTTCTCTTAATGAGATCTTTAAGTATAATCATTAAGAAATCTGACATCAAGTCTCTCTCATGGATCTCGTCCAAAATTACATGGCTGGTCTTTGACATATATCTGAAGTAAAGATATGATTATCAAGATATACTTGTAAACAAGACATTATGTCATGGATAGCTTAAGATGTTCATCTTTACCAAGTTTTAGAAGCTATGAAGTGCAGAAATATTTACAGTTCCAAAACTGAGAGCTTTCTTAGAATTACAATTTTTAGTATCATAAATGTTTTATTCAACTTATTGTTGCAAAAAATATCATCATTTTTATTGAAAAAAAAAATGAAAAGCCACACTTTCAAAATCATAAGCTGAAATGATATTTTAGAACTAAAAAGTTACAAATATCTTCAAAGCAACATTTTAACATGTTTAAGAAAATATTAATAGTAAGAAAAGGTAATCTATAAACAAATTTACATACGGATCACTCTCCAGGTACTTTAGTAAAATACCAGTGGTACAGAATAATATGGAACCCTGAGGGCGAGGAAGTTTCCTGAAAAAACAAAATTATTTTGTACAATTACAAATTATTTTACTTTGAATTTTAAAAAATTCCACAGTGAAAAAATTACCAATGTCTGACTAACTATCACAAAAGTTCAGTCACATTAAAAATCCGTTATGATATTGTTTTTGATGTTGTCTTAGATTAGTTGTAATAAATCCATGAGCCCACTCATTTGAATATTCTGTATCAAAACACCCACTACTGCAGTGACATTCTGAATAATGTTCCATCTTATTTACGACAATACTCACGAATCCAGTCGTATGCTGTAACCCACACTTTGAGAGCCACACGGATCATCCCTCTCCTGGGCGACACGCTCCGCAACCTGAAAACATCCAAACACCATCTTAATCTTTTCTGGAAAATTTTGAAATCAAATTATTCCCTGGTATCTTTCTCAGACTACCTCATATTTTGGTAACATTTAATGCTTGGTGTGATCTGAAAAGAAATCTTAATCTTTGTTTCCATAATACAGAACAGGCATGAGTTTCAAATAATCTACAATGATAAGGAATAAATAAGGAATTTGTGGCAATCATTTTTTCTTATCAACCAGCCCTTTGAGACATCTGAATCTATGACTTTTGTGGCACAATGGAGAAACAGTATCCAATACCTGAACAAATTTACGAAATTTAACTGGACAAGCATCAATCTTACTGGCATTTGACGTGGGGTCGGTGATTAACATTGGGGCCTCGTTTAGTCTGTCCATTTGTTCAGAAATTTCCCGTTTATACTCACTGATATAGCACTAATTCTCCTTGGCTGGGTACATACTACCCTGCAGAGAGACCCCTTGTTGTTTTCTATATAGTGGTCAAGGAGAAACTGGGACACCTACAATAACATTAAAAATGTTATTATATATTAAGCTTCGCTCACATGGAATGTCTATTTTCTAAAAATCTATTTTCTATTCGCGCTATCTTATGATCACGGTCTGTGCCCTGAATATCCCGCCGCGTAATTACTGGCAGCGTGAGCCAGTTACTTATAGTAACTTATAGTAACTGGCTCGCGCTGCCAGTAATTACGCTGCGGGATATTAAGGGCACAGACCGTGATCATAAGACATACCGCGAATAGAAAATAGAATTTAGAAAATAGACATTGCATGTGAATGAAGCCTAACATTACAAGAAACAAAAATAAATAAATAAATAAAACATAGATTGAAATAGTTTATTGGTAAAGGAATAAATATGTAATATAATTACAGTCACTTTACTTTTTTATAGTACTGCATATATTTCTCTATAATTTTTTTTTAAGCAGTTGCCAATGTGCATATTATGTGTGTATATCACAGGTAACACCGACTGACAAATAAGACAAAAACCTACTGTTGTTAAACAAAGAACTGACTCTAACTTCTAATAGTAATTTTAGACAATCTTACCTGAGTTGTTTTGCCACAGCCTGTCTCTCCACTGATGACTACAACTTGGTTTTTTTCTATGACATCCACTATTTCCTGGAATATAACAGAATATTTAACTTCGAACCATTAGCCCTTCTGCTCTTAGTAATAATAAATTATCATATATCAGGGACAAAAAGTAAAAGAAAGTTGAGCAAATGAAAAAGTTGCTTTCACAAAAATTTATTTCATTACACATTCACCATTATATGATACCAGTTTTAGCTTGAAAAGGTTTTAGCTCAAAACTTTTTGGTATACTGATCCATTTATTTCTCACACTGACCAGTTCACATGACACTGACCAGCAAGCATTCTGTCCCCCTAAGAAAACTTCTAGACAGAAATCTAAAAATAATGGTCAATTTATCAAAATCAACAAATTTCAATCATTTTGATGGGCCAAGTGACTTCCAACTGTCAATTGTCAAAAATCTAAAAATAATGGATAATAAATCAAAATCAATAAATTTCAATTATTTTAATGGACCAAATAGCTTCCAACTGTCAATGGTCTCTTTGGTGAATGTCAAAGACAGTACAAAGCACAAAAAAAATTAAAGAAAAAAAAAATCAACTTTTTTTTGTTTTTATTTGCATTTTAAGCATAACAACCCACCTTCCTCATCCCATAGCTTGGCAGCTGGGACCGAAACTTCTGCATTTCAATATATCTGGTGCTTTGTTCTTTCTTTGCCAGTTCTTTTCTGTACTGAGAATCCATGGCTGCATTCCTCTCATATGCAAGGGCTCCATGAACAGAACCTGCCATTAAAATGGACATTTGTCATGAAAAAGGATTCTCTAAGAATTACAAAGGCAATTTAGTTTCCTATTATCAAAATCTGAGTTTCATGATTTGGTGCCTTGTACGACAGTTTCTTTAAACTAATCAATTAAGTGACACCTGAAATATAAAAAACGAAAAGCTTGCTTTAACTGATCACTAATCTGGGCTTAATTTACAAAGTAAGGTTAAGTCTTCTGAGATCCAAGATCCCAAGTGAAGACCAGGACTTGATGACTGTCATTCTGTCAAAGTTTTTCTTTTGAATTAGAGATCCAGGTTACTTGGTAGATTGAATGCAAATAACAATGTCAAAAAGATTTTTGACTATTCAAGGAGCTGTCTTAACCCTACCGCTAAATATATCTCCCCTCTGCTTATGCTGCAAGTATTCCAGAACAAATTCATTTGTTTCCTCGTGATGCTTAAAGACTTCAGTTAAATTTGTCACTTCATCATCATCATCAGCATCATCATCACCGGGTTCAGTGCTGGTAGCTGAACTGGGACCAGGGGCAGAAGCAGAAGCAGGGCGAGACGAGCGAGCTTGGTCCAACCCTGGAATATCAAAAAGAAGAAGAAAAAAAAGTAGAAGTTTAGTCTGGTTCTTATATAATTTACCCTATTCTGATTCTGAATGGGTGGAGACATTCTTACCTCCCTGGAGAGGATTGGGTTTTTTTCCCAGAAAAATGAAATGTCAGAATTTAGCTTTCTTTATGATAAAAAATATAGAAATATGTATTGAACATTTAATGTAAAATGTGATACAGTTGGGTGAAAAAGGGATATGTAGATATACAAACTGTTTGATTTTAATTTTCGAATCCACCATTGTTCACAGTTAAAACCATTCAAATGTGCTATGCTGTTGGCAGTTTTCAACATACCATACAGATTTGATGCTTCCTCAGTCATGTCTGTATGCCAAGAAGTGGACTCTAAATCTTTCATCTGAATATCCTCAGCGTCTGGATCATCAAAGTAGTCTCTGCTAGTGGCGCCACCTATGGGATCCTCTATCTGGTCAGCTTCCCGAGTAATGTCAGTGGGATCTCTGTAGGACCGTGATGGCTGTGGGGGGNTAAATGGTCCATGTGTGAGGGGTGAAAGTTTTGTTTCGTTTTATGGAGAAATGAAGATCACTTAGGCCCTCAAACGCGGGCCACCGATGGGGCGATGCAGAACTAGGGGATAATCACGTGATCCATTGCCCATCTTCATCCCAGTGAGGAAATGGGCACCAATGCTATCAAATGGACACTCACCTGTTGATTGAATATCCTTAGCTCAAGTCAAATTTATTATATGCCTATTTCAAGTCCAGAAATTCGGGAAGTCATTGAACTGTACGACATACACGCGTTCACTATTCACGGAACACTTTTCTTCCACGTACATGAGTAGACGGGTTCAGAATTTTGATGAGAGGGGTGTTTGTCACATAAGGTGAAATACTTTTTGTCAAGAGAATCGAGGCCGACTACTTCGATATTTCGATTTCCATACCCATTCTATGTATTTATTTTTTTTTTGGGAGGGGGGGGGGGGACGCGACAGACACTGCGTCTCCCTGGATCCGATTTTGGCATAGATACAGCATATAAGCCTCATTATTTTTCCATTTTAGAACTCTAAACAATAGGCTGATTTATGTATGAATCAAGTTGCAATATAAATACATATAACGTAAAGAGGATATGGAGAAGGCAGCTTTGTAAAAAAATCCTTTAGAAAAAAAGTAATGTATTAAGATTGTAATTGTAAAATGGTGCTAAAATGACACAATTTTGTTAATAAATTGAATACCTTATGCTTCTGTCTTCAAATGTTGCTACTTAGGATTCACACGATAGTCTATGATATAATTCCCTGGTTAAATACACAACACTTATCAAATTGATATGCAAAATTATTAAGACTACAATTTCATCAGATTTTATTTCCTTAGGCTTCAGTGCTTTTAGTTCACCTAATAGTTTATATGCATTAAATGACAAAAAATGTTTAACCACAATGCATTATCACAATTCTAAGGTTAAAAATGATGAAAAAAAAAAGTAAAATTAAAAGTGGCAGAGGAACGTGTGTTTATCCATCCCTTCAAACAGAAAGGTGATCAGACATTTGCAGGCTTGTTATAGTCAACTAATTAATGGACTTTTCTGCGTTATCTTGCCCTATTCTTTAGTTAATAGATCGGTGATGGCTTGCATTATCGCCCCTTCTTTAGTGTTCCCATCCCATTGGGTAAGGCCTGGTCTTGTGATCTTCTCTTCCAAAAGTTTGTCGAGTTCACGTCGAAGATCCTGCCAACAATCCGCCAAATGTAAAATTTGCAATGCGGACACTTCTTTATCATTTTAATAATTTACAATATAGAATATTCCATGAAGATTTTTTTCAAGTTAAAAAAAAAAATTAATGTATAAATATTTGAAAGTATATTACAAGTGTGAAAAAAGTTAAAAAAATACAATTAGACTATTTATCAGAAAACCAACAAATGCAAAAATTCAATCTCCTTGGTACACGTAATTACCTTGACTAGATTTGCTGTTTTGGCCGAAGCTTTAAAAATGATCCAATCATCTACAGTCACACAGTCCATATCTTCATCCTGAAAATTAACAATTGATTGATGTTATTGTGAGGGGGGATGAAAAGGAGGGTAAAGAATTTAGTCTGTTGTGAGAGAAGATTATTCAGGATCCCTTCAGAAAAGGGATGTAGAGAGAAGATTTATTTAATCTTCCAAGTAAAATGTGCCACATGCTCCTCTCTTATTTTTGCCAGTGTACCTTTTTGATGCCAATGTCCCCTCCAAAGAAAAGCAATGGGTATGGAGATACCACGGTGCTGTCATAGAGAAAAACCTACGAAAGAAAAAAAAAAGAAAATAAATAAATAAATAAAGTAAAATAATTAGAAGAAATACATTTGTATCAAGGTTTGCTTTTTGTATGCAAATATAAAATTGCCAGTTTTATCAGTGAGTAGAGAAATATTTCTAAAAGGTTTAGCATAAATGATATGTAAGAAATTAAAACACTTAAATTTGACAAAGCCAAGTGATCTAAAGACCTATTTATGACATTCTTTACTTCTCCAC